CTTAAGGAAACGCTCTAAAATTTAAACTTCCGAAGGAAGCGGCTGTGCCACCCCGGGGAACAATAGGCAGCGGCTGTTCCTGCCAGCTTCGAGCTAGAACCGCGATGGGAAGGAGCCGTAACCTATTGTCTTGCTGTTCTAGAAGCTGCCAGCGTCTGCCCCTTCCTTTGCAGAAGAACCATTCCTTAGTTATCAGTGACTTGAGTGAAGTTTTCATCTCGACTCCATAAGAGTTAGCAAAGGACCAGATCCTGCGCATGCACGTTGAAATCTTTGGGTAAAGATATTTCCTAATGGGGAGGCAAATGCATGAAACAGTTGCCTCCAGATTGAGGGGCTGGGATAAAAAGCATGGGGGCAAAGACTGTTCCAAGTTTTTTTCTTTCATAAACATATGAAGGCAATAAACAAGGGAAGTGTAACCAAATCTTTTTGTTAGATTAATCTGTCAGAAAGTCATAGCTCATTGCTTGCTTTCTTTGGAGGGTCAGCAACAGTTCTACAAAATTGACAAGGACAGAAACAAGGAAACATTTTTCTGAGGCATGCCTAAAATATTGTAAGTAATGGTGTTGCAAAATGGTGCACTTGGGGCATTATGGTTTTGGAAGATTAATATTTTGCTTATATATTTTTGGGAGAATTACTGATGTGCTGACTCTTCTCTATTTACTCTTTTTTTTGCCAATTGCTAAATGTTGTCAAATCAGCTTTTGCAAAACCAGAATCCTGAACAATTTTGTGTGCTTACAATAGATGAACAAAGCTTCAAATTCCTTTGTTTGCCTTGCACAAAACATGCAGTAAAATATTCCGCAACGCGCTGAAATGCATAGTTGGCTTCAATATTTGAGCTTCAGAACTACCATTTTCAGTCTGATATTTACAACTTTATGGACAAGCACAATACAGTAAGAAAAAAAGCTGTTTACTGTATGGAGGATATAAGCCTCATGTAAATATATCTAATATTAGAAGAATTTTAAAGAATTGAGATAAAGGGACAGGAGTAATAGTCAATATGGCTTCCTCTATTTAGAAAAAGGTTTTCTGTCTTTCAAAGAAATGAACTGTAAATAAAGTAGTAGTTTTTACAGACAATAAAAATACCTGTCCTAATTTAAATATAAATTAAATCTCAGAGTTTTTGTTGGTTTTGTTTGGTTGGGGTTTTTTCCAACTGGGGGAAGTCAAAATATTTCTTGTGTGTTCCTCATTTGAATCAGTGGGTCCCTTGCCAAGGGAAAAATGTGTATTAACTAATGAAATAAAATGGGACAGCAGATCAAGCATGAAATCCCACTGGAGAGAACAATGAGAACCCTCCTCTCCACTATATTAGGAAGGCAAAAATCATTCTAAGATTTTCAGATAGCATCAACATCATAGATAGCTGGGGAACACAGTCCCAATATTTTCCATAAAAATAGGTTCTAGGAAGGGAAACGAAAAATAAAATTACCTTTTTAACAATGTTTTGTACTTGGATCTTTGTCTCATCATTTCCCTCCAAATAATTAACATTTTTATATTATATTAATTTTAGGAATACTTTCTAACCTTAATTTCTCATTATTTGTGAAGAAAAACTGATAAATGGCAGTCTTCATGCACATTCTGAAAAAATAATCCACTTGACATAATATACTTTGTTAATGAAAGGAAAGGAAAATTTACTAGCTGTTAGAATTTCTGTGGAACTGACAAATAAAAAAAAAATAGCTTTAAATTAGTCTCAGTCTTAAAGAAAGTAAGTTACTTTGTAAGTTGAGGTTAATAGCTATTTATAGCTCCCCATTTAATTAAATCACTGTTTTGATTTAGATATTGTTTCTCTTCTTACAAATTATATTAGGGTAAAATATTCACATTTCCAGGATCATATTAAAATAGTAGACTGATACAAAAATCTTTACTAATAGTTTTATATTCCAAAGCATTTAGTCAGTGATGTTTACATTTTAAAAAACATGGACTTTTACCAATAAAATGACAATACATTGTTTGCTGCTTTTTAGTTCTCTCAAGATGATAAAATAATTTAATGTTAAATGCAACTTGGTTTTGTTTCTTTTCTGTTCTTTACTCAAGTTCAGCAGTTAAGCTTATGCATAGTGGAGCATGTAGTAATCTAAAACTACCTGAAAAAAAAGTTGCAATATTATTGGCTCCTCCTACATGTAGCAGTGCTGGGAAACTATTACATCTTCTTTTTTTTTTTTTTTTTTAACCTAATTTCAACTACTCAGTTCCACTTGTTGGCATTCTTCATGTAAAATATAACATTTAACCATTTCCTGTATAGGTGTTTTACTTAGTATCTTGTAACTATTTAAAAAATGTTAAGAAAAATCAAACTACAAATATAATTCAAATAACCATTGTTAACATTAAACAATCTACATCATATTATATAGTGAAAATACATGGACCAGTGTCTTCACTCCGCTATGGTATTGCAACAGTTAATTAGTCAGTACAAATTTATTTAAATTCCCAGATGCTGAAAATCATTATATTGTACAGCCCAGTTATTGACAAACAGTGCAACCAAGTAACTAAAACTCCTACAAAAATGAGTTTTCCATAAGACTGAGGTCATCTAGTGTTTGACTAATAACAATTTTTTATCCCTGGAGGGAAAAGAACTTTTCTGGTTTATAGGATCTTGCATCATCGCAAGATATCCTTTGTGGAAGTAAAAAACACTTAATTTGGCAAGGAAAAAATACTGCTTCTTACACATTAGTGAATTCTAATTTTAAATCTAATTTACATTTTAATTGTGCTGTTCTTGGTAAAAATTGGGGATGCAGAAATATTTTACTGTATAAACAACTGGCTTCTATATATTCCAGAATGATGTTAAGAGTTTTTAAAGCCCAAATAGGAATTAAACCCTGTCTTCTAAACTGTAAGAAACCCAACAATAAATTGATTTACATGTCCTCTTCCCATGTAAAATTACTGTACGAAGCATAAACAGCCATAGCAGACAGAAAAACTAACTGATATCTTTTATATGGCTGAAGCTATAATGCTGATTTTTATACCATTTTGTTATTGCATAGCGATTTTATATTAGCACTGTGGTTCCTATGTCTGAAAACTCAGCTTGCAGAATGCACACTAACAAAGTGCCATAATGGGGTCACAGAGGCCAGGGGAAAAATTCAGTTTTGTTGCATCAGACCTGTGATAAAGCCTCAACCTCTATGTAAACATTTAGTGAAGCACTCTCCTATGTAGCAGTTTAAGTTGAAGTTAACATGCAAGTTATTTGCTGTAACTTAACGTAAAACTACAGTTCGAAGTAATGTCATATGATCAAAGAAATAGCACTATTTCTGTGTTTTTCCTCAAAAAACAAACTCCCCAAAACTTGCTTGCCACAGCTAGACAGATTATTTAATTGAATGGTTAATACTAAAAATCAAAATGTTAAGCAAAAGTATATGATATGGGGAGGGGAGGGAGAAATAAGAGTTAATTGTTTTTTCAAAACAAAATATAATTTTTGATTTAGTTGTTAATGAAGCTTAAATTTTAGACACTAAGTATAAAAGTTGCTTAATTCATCTAAGTTAAGACATTTTAAGTTTTATCATATTGCTATAAAGTTAACAGAAAAGAAGTCCTGTGTTCTAAGAATTAAAAAAAAAAGATAGTTTAAACTAACTAAACTAAAAAGGAAGCTAAAAAAGAAAAACTAACAGAAAACATTAGACAGCATGGATAGTTAGTTACTTCAACTTTAACTCTTCAATGTTCTGGTCTTCTGAATTTAACTGAGCTATCGCAAATGTTGCATTAAGACTTCTGATCATATGCACATTCCTAAATTGGGGGGGGAGGGGTGAGAGAGAGAAAAGAAGTGGAAGCAGAATGAGGTAAAAAGTGCAAATAATAGGACCAAAGTGTTCCTTTATAGAGAAAATGGGCACTAGTAACCCAGTGGCCAACAGGTTCTTGCTCAGTTCTTAACATTGTCCACACTGGCCCAGGAGCTAGGAGACTCCATTCAATTGTTCTGCGTGTTCATTTTCAATTTGGAAGTACAAGTTCTGAAATGTAGTTATCCTCCTCTGCTCCTCCCCTCCCATATCTACCATGCAACTCAGATGTCCAAAGCTAACTTTTAACTTTGTTCATGGACATACTCCAATGGGGACTCGTTACATTGTCCAGCTTCAAAGTTCAGCTGTCCTAATAATTGGGGAGGAAAGGACATCACTTTCTTGATAGTAAGAAAAGAGTACTCTGCATGATACTCATACGCACAACAAAAACATTAACAACTCTTGCCTAATAAGAATTTTTCATTAAGTTATGAGAAAGGGGGGTGGGGAAAGTAATTAAATGGAAATGACAAGAAAATACTGTAATAGAGGAACAGCGTGCTCTCATCTTCTGAAACTTGAGTTTGTTCCTGTTGTTCAAAACGTTGAGTTACTTAAATACAGAAGATATAGCTGCAAATGTATACTATAACATGCTTGGATTTATTATCGCACTCTCTCATCTTGATTAAGTCTTTTGTATAGTACTTATGCTCAAGTAGGAGGCAAGGTAGATTTGCACCTTATTGTGTGGTGGCCAAACAAGATGAGGCTTGTTTTGTAACTTTGAAATTGGAGGTGAAACACTATGAAGTTGGTGAAAACTATAAAGTTGGAGGTGAAACGTACCTTGGTTTTATTATCAAAAGATTTTTAAAAAGTTAAAAGCTGTGCACACAATTGAATGCAACATTCAAAATACAAGCTAATATCTGTTGGCTTCCTCCTCTTCCCTGCCCCCCCCC